TGTAGCTTACTTTACCTAAAATTGATTTGAACTAAATTACCAATTTTATTATCCAATTTAATATGATTAATAAACGATCAGTGACACTCTGAAACCGATTTTTTTTTTTATTAAAAATGACATATTATAGTACTTCTTTTAAAAAAACTTGTTTCTGTAAAAACATTTATTTTATTTACCATCTTTTTGAAAATGCTTTGAAAGTAGCTAATGCAAAATAATGTGATAAAAATATTTGCCGGGTTTCCTACGACAAAACAACATCCGCTTTTTGAGAATAGAAAATTTTGACACGTTTTATAACGTTTTTGGGTGTTCTTTCGTAAAATAGGGTCGGTTTTGGAGAAGAGAAACTGAAAAAACGATTACGTTTAAATTACGTTACTGTCGCGGAAAAGGATATTACCAATGTATGCCAATATATGCGTGAAATTACCGGTTTATTTGTTATTAGTGATACTACTCGTAATATCTTAATAAGTTTAAGACTTTTCAAGATTTGCTGTACATTCGACCTGGCGTTTTTTCTAACAAATGTCCAAAGAAACAGACTTTTATGTGAACACGCCTATGTGACTGGTGATCAAGTGTTCCCTGAAAAATTTCTAAAAATATTTTTACGATTATTTTCTTAACGAATCAATAAAAAAAATCGGACAGATATGAAAAAAAACATTTTCAGTGAATGCTTTGAATATATTGTTTCGCCAGTAAAATCGAACACGAGTACTAATAGACCTGGGAAAAAGTATTGAAAATTTATTTTATGTCCCAAAAGAAAAAGAAACTGAATATTCATGATAATAGAAGTCAGGAAGGTCAATCATATTGATTGAGTAATACCTTTTATCTTTATAAAAATATGTTCTATATGAATTGGTCAGACAAAAAATATTCCAGTTCTTAAAGTACATCGTTACCAAGGACTTTAAAAGTCTGGCAGGAGTTCAGTTTTTCGTTGTTTTTTTTTTTTTGTAACTCATTTTTTTAACGGGGAATTTCATACAACAAATTAATACACATTGCAGTGTGACACTTTATATAATATAATAATAATGATAGATAATAAATAACTAAAATTTTCGAAAGTGGGAAACAATTTAATTACCACACTAGCAATCCGTTTCAAGTTGCCTTGAAATTTTACTGATAGTCACGTGACATCTGCGACAGATACAAGATGGACAGTAAATCACGTACGATTTGAAGAATTTCTGCTATAAAATGATAATAACCAAGCAGCTTTTTAATTGATCAGATGTCAATGAGTCATTTAAAAAGGGTTTGTGTAGAGTAGGTAACTGCAAATTGTGCCCCTATTTGGTGGCAAAATTTTGCGTATTATGCAATATGTAGCGTTTGAAACGTAGGGGTCGTGAGAGGAACAGCCAATTTAATGGAACACTTCGTTTGATGCATGTCGAGCATAACTTTGAATCGGCATTAACATTTTTATAAAATCAAGCAAATTATATATGCGGTTTAAAGCCACGTGAAAGGGAAGTCAATTTCAGAGGAAAACTGATTTCAGGGGGATTTTTTTGTTTGACTTCAATCAAAGACTTAATTATCTTAAATTACGTAATTACGGTATTGGTTCAAAAAGTCCGCATTAAAATGGTTTGAGCGTTCACGTAATTTTTTTGTTGAGAAATTGATAGTAAAAATCTGAGGCACGGTTTCCCAGATATTATTAATGATGTTTATATTCCAAAACGTTTGATAAACCAAAAAAAAATTGACATTGATATAACGATTTAAAATCTATTAGAATTTCTGTTCAAAACATCAATCATTAACAAAGGGCATTTTTTTTCCAAAATTTATGTTATTTTATGAACATTCAAAGACATTTAATGCACACAACTTTAAAAATAGATTATTAACCTATTACTAAAGAATGTTTGGTTTTAGATGACATTTGATAGGTAGTACCCACGGGAAAGTTGTCTGTTGTCGCCTTAATTAAGGGCTAACAAAAAATTTTATTATAGCAATAAGGATTAAACAAAAAAAAATCCCCAAAAGACTTATAACAGGTCCGGCCTAGTTAAAACCCGTTTTTCATTATTTTTATTTTAAAAATCATACAGGCATGCGAACTGTATTAAAATAAATGAGAATAAATTTTCTTAAATTTGCTCAATATTTGTAAATTTTAAAATTGAGTAAAAACAGCTTCAAAATAATTTTACTGGTAGTGTCTATATTGAATTTCAAACCAAATTTTGCCCGAATTATTAAATGTTATTTTAAATACTTTGGAAAGTTTTTTTGAAACCCCCTTTTTAGAAAACCCAAACAAAAAATTTATTTGGGAATAATATATTTTTTTTAACATTATGATAATAAAACATTTTTTTTTATTTTTTGAATTGAAACATAAATTACGCAGGGATTTTTTTTCAGTTTTAAAAAATAAAAAAAAATTTTAAAAAATGTTTTTTTTTTTGGTAAAAGGGTTTTAATTGAAGGTGTATAAGACGCCCTACTTTTAGTTTTTTTTTTTTATTCGTGTAAAGGTTAATTTTCTAAAATTCGCATATCAAAATCTCTCGAAGTTATAGTAAATTTAAATATTTTAGTCAAAAAATTGCGAACATCTTTTTTATTGGGCCCGGAAACTATGACCAAATTCTTTAATATTTTAAAAAAAGAAAACTACCCTTTTTGATAAAAAAAAAAAAAAAATGCAAAATTTGGGGAAAAACGTAAATTTTTAAAAGCTTTCCCACAGTTTTAAAAATTTTTTTCACTGTTTAATTTGGGCCAGAAGACGGCCAAATTCATTTTACAAGTTCTGCTTATTTGTGTGCACCTTTTTTGAGAATTTATTTTAATTCTGAATTATTTTTGTAAAACAGAGGTTTTTTTTTTTTACATTTTTTAGATTCTTTAACTTTCATTTAAATTTCCATTCCCTTTTATTTTTATAAAAGTAACGATATGTGGGGGAATATTTTTTATAAGGGGAAGTCTTTATAAAAATGTGCTTTTTTTTCAAAGAAACCCCTTTTTTAAAACATTGGTAAGTAACTTTGTCCGATAATTTTTGAAAAAATTTAAATTTATCAAACAATTGGTTTTTCTTTTTAATAAACAATTTTTTTGGGATTCATTTTATTTTTTTTAAAGTTTGAATTTTTTTTTAAACTTTTTTTTTAAATCTTAATTATGATCTTTTTAACATTTTTTAAAGAAAGAAAAGTACAAATAAGATCTACTCTGCCTGAAAAGCTGAAATATTTTTTTTACATTTTTTTGTATTTTAAATTGTGAAAGGTGGCGGAAATTCAATGAAAAATTATTTTTTCAAAATATACATAAAATTGGGGATTTCCCAAAAAAATGAATGTTTGTTTTTTAAAACATAGAAAAGAAAACCTTTAAATTTGCCAAATAACATAACCCCTAAAAAAAAGCTGCTTAAATTTAATTTTTTAAAATTTCACAAAATGCGGCGCCACATTTTTTGGGGGAAAAAAACCCACAAGATAAAGATGATAAAACTTTACTCAAAAATTTGGGAAAATACCCAATTTTAATCATTTGCGAATATTTGATTTAATTTTTGACCTTTAAATTTTTTTTATGAATATCCAAACATTTTTGGGTTAAAAATTTTTTTTGGGAAAAAAATTTGGGTTTTTTTTGTTTTGAATGGGCATTAAAATCATTATACGCCCTGTTAAATTTTTTTCGCGGTTATATTTTAAAATGATATTTGTGACATCAAAAATTATAATTTTCTTAGGGCCATTCCCTACGCGTTGAAATTTTTAGGGAGGGATAGTTTCTGAGTTTGAAAAATAAAGATTTGCATCTCCGGGCGTCCCGTACAAAGCAACTCGTTACGCCTTTCCGATGGGGTCTTTTGGTCTGTAAAATCATTTTATTTAAAAAAAATGAAAAAATTTTTAAACCATTTTTGATGAAATTTAAACTGAAACCCCTTTCCAAACCATTACGAAAAGATAGTCACAATTTTAATGAATGACTGTAATTTAATCAACGAAAAAGATGGGTTTTCCCCCATAGTTTTTAAAAAACTGGGGGTTTAAATTAGACCCTTATTTCAGGGTGTTTCCCCCCAAAAAAGGGAAACCCCTTTCAATCATTGGGTTAAAAAATTTTTAAAAGTTATCTAATACATTCAAAAATTTGACATGTACCCGAAAAAATAAAAAACAAACTTATCCCAAAAAACAACTGTTAACTTTTAAATTAAAAAAAAAAAACAAACAAAAACACTGAAAATACACACAGTTGTTTTCTGTAATTATCTAACATGATTGGCACAAGTTCCATAACTCTGATTTGCTTCTTTGCATAATTATGCCCTTTTTCGATTTAGGAAATCCTTGGTTAAGTTTTTGCGTGTTAAAACTGGTATCTCCATAACTACTGAAGGGATAAGGGAAGGATTGAAATTCAAACTTGTTTCTGTGGTTATTCACATGATTGGCACAAGTTCCCCTTTAATTTTTGATTTTTTTTTTATAATTAAGCCCCTTTTTCGGTTTTTGGGAAAATTTTTTGTAAAGGTTTTTCTTGTAACTGGTACTACATTACACTGAAAGGGTTTTGCTTTTTTGGGACAAATTTTTTGCATTTTAAAAAATAATAAAGAATGATTTTTTCGATAAAAAAACTTAAAAACAAGCCCCTTTGAATAGTCGAGCGGGTTTTTTGTCCCCCGACCCGTTCTTGTGATATTCTCGGATTGCTTATTTAGAGCAGGCATTAAACCCCTTTTTTCCCCAAAAAAGGGGCAGAACGCTAAGAATTGACTGTGCGTTAAACAAAAAAAGGCCGATCAACCCCTTTGGATGACATGGCAACCAAAAATTTTTATTTTTCAACCCTGCCAATGGGCCAAACAGTGGGAAAAAATGTAGTGTTTTATTTTTCCCCAAAACCCCACGTTTTCTTTTCCCAAAAAATGGCCCGACAGCAGGAAAAATGCGACTCGGGTTTCTAAAACCCCCAACCTTGGGGAAATGCGTCTTCATCACGGGCCCAGCGGGAAAAGTCCCAAAACTCCACTTTTGGGCAAAAAGGGTAATTTCTTCATGATTTAATTTTTTTATGGAAGTTTTCAATTTAAATTTAAAAATTTTGGTTGGTTTAGACGGTTTTTTTAAATACCCGTTCAGAAGAAAAAACTTTCAGCGGAGTTTTTAGAACTCATTTTTTATTTGGGTTCTGCTTTTTTTGTCGGGCCCCCATTTCGGGAAACATCAGCAACCCCATCCGAACTGTTCAAACTTGCTCACAATTTTGTAAATGTTTTTTTCTGCTCGCAGTAGATTTCTTAAATTGATACTTAAAAAAAAACATCAGTAACACTTTTATTTTCGTAATATTTTTTCAACACAAAAACGATGATCTGGCGTCAATCGTGCCATTTTGAAAAATATGTTATTTCAGAAATGACATCTTCATTGTTTACCCTTTAACATGGTGAATTGTTCATTTAAATAGTCGAATATAAAGCAAAAATATTGAGATTTCAAAGTGTTACCTTACTTTTGGGACACCCTGTATATAAAAAAATGATTTGAATGTTTATATATATGTAATTGTATTTTAGACTATGGATACATGTTAGATGGTGCAGTCTATACGATTGACTGTTGTGGAATCGTGTCCGGATGGGAGGCAGTCTTTCAAGGAGTAGCTGGATCTAGGACGGTTTACTTTCAGGTTTGGAGACATGAGACGGCTTCTTCTTACCGTCTGATTGGGCAGAACTCGGTAACAGTCAGTGAGTGAATCTGATTAATAAACAATGTAAACATACATTGTAGATAAAAATACAGAACATCAAGAACGACACCAAGTTTAACGTCAAAATCTATAGATGTCGCTTTGATAGTGACATCATAAAGAGGACAGAAACAACTACTATTTAAAGCTATTACGTGGCAACCCGACAGCTATCAACTCTAATGTCTACGAGCACACGCGTACGAAATACTCATCAAATGAGCACGTAATACTATTGTGTGTGCACGTAATACATATCGCGTAGCCACGTTATTGCTATAGCCTGATCAAGAAATAATTATCGCGTGCTCAAGTGTGCAATTGTAAATAAAAGATTTCAAACGTCTCATTTATTTCACAGCACGCACCTGAGTAGCATTTATGGAATTTAAGTCAGCAAAAATTTCATATTAACCTATAGAACGTTATTCATTTAAGTTATAAAACATACAAATAAAACAACATCATAGATATTAAAAGCAAAAACATACATACAGAATACCAAATTCCGACTTTCATCTTCGAAATAATTTTTAATCAAATTTAAACACGAGTTGTAGCAAGGTATTAACAATCTTTACAAAAAAAAGGTTTTCAATAAGTAAATAAAACCCGGAAAAACATTGTTGATAGACTGTGTAATACACAAACACACGATAGAAACAATTTTTACAAGAAACAAAGACCATGTCTAACATAAATGAATGGTACAGACTAAAGTAGGTTGAAAAGGCAATGTAACAGGCATCTTCTTTAACTTAAACGTTCTTTGCGATGATTTTGATACTGAGTAAATTCATACTGCACAAAATGTTAAGCAAATACGTCAAAATGTTAAGATATTACGTAATAACTCCATAACTCCGAAAAACATAGTAACTGTTATAGTTATAGATTTTCTTGATTTTTTTACATTTAAATAACATATTATATATATATTAAATGGTCGAACTTCTGGCGATTATACCGGAAGTACTACTTGTAAAGGTACCAGTTCTGCCGATTATTTTACATATAATTCAAATAGGTTTAAAAGTGTACTCGATCTAACTGTAAATGATTTTTGTCCCATTTTATCAGATGTTCATAATCCTATTATTTAAACATTGAATACTAACCGAATTGAAATTGATGAACATGTTAATAACACTGAACCATGTATTAAATTATGGGACAATAAAAAACGTGAAGACATTTACATAATTTGACATAAATCTTGTAGTGTAGAGAAATTAAATGAAAAGCTTGACATTTTGAAAGCTAATCAACAAAATGCAAATGATTTACTTACAAATATCTCCCCCACTAACGTCTGAGTACAAAGTAAAAAAACAACAATAAAGTAATAGATAACAATAGCTCTTAGTTTGGAAATCAGTGTAGGAAAGCAAGAAGAAAATTTCATAGAGCGAAATATTTATATAAATTAAGAAATACTGACGATAACAAATATAATCTTAAAGAAAAAAGCATATTATGCGTTCGTTTGAAAATTAACATTGAATAGAAACATTGATAAATTTCGCAAATTGAAAATCAAACACCCTAGGAAATATTGGCAGTTACGTCGTAATAATAACTGTCAATACAAAACCGGAGCAAGTATGGATGAAATGTATGATTTTTTCAGAAAGGTGAATTTGTCAAATGATCGAACAATTAATGACAATACTACATTTGATCTAGAATAGAATGAGCAATTAAACCAAAACAAATCTACAAATGGTCCTATAACATTTAAAGAGATTGATAAAGCAGTAAAGATGTTGAAAAATAATAAAGCATGTGGGTTAGACCAAATAGTTAACGATCAAATAAAATACTCATATAATTCAATGATAGAAACGTATTTCAAATTTTTCAATTTAGTCTTTGAAATATGGACTATTGAGATAATAAATCCAATATATAAAACGAAGGTGATGCTAGTAAACCTGAAAATTATAGACCAATTCTTCTTAGTTGTTGAGGAAAACTTTTTACCAGTATATTAAATAATAGGCATACTACTTATACAGATGGAAATAATATAATAAATAATAGTCAAGCAGGGTTCTGGAAGAGGTTTCAACCACAGACCAAATTTTCGTATTACGTTATTAACAGTACAAATAAATTATATTTTGCTTTCATCGACCCCAAGTAAGCCGTTGATACAGTCTGGAGAAATGGTCTTTGGCAAAACTCTTTAACCTTAAAATAACCGAAAAATGTTTAAATCTCATTAAAAATATGTATTATAACATTAAATCATGTGTCAGAATTAATTTTTAAGTTTCAAATTTTGTCCTTAGTATCATAGGTGTACGTCAAGAAGAGACCGCTAGGGGGCGTGGATGGTAGTTTGCACTTGATAGTACCGTCCATGAACAGGCTAAATCAAACCGAGCCTGCAACATTTTCAATTTTGTTGTTTTGGACTTTTTTAGGGATTCTTTTTTCTCTACTTTGTACCCTCTACTTTTTTCAATGTTTTTGAATTATCTCAGCGATTAATTTGCAAATAGTAATGACACTATGGGAATCACGGTACAGAATGACCAAAACGCAGGCGAAATTCGTGATTTTTATATTATATTTATATCACTTTACGCTGACGATGCTGTTATTCTATCTGAATCAGTTTAAGATTTTCAAAACTCATTACATGTGTATGACAATTATTGTTAACATGGAAACTTACTGTAGATGCATCTAAATCTAATAGTGTAGTGTTTTCTTAAAGACCACAACAAAACTACAACATTATCTTGAATAACGATTGTAACGGAGTACAAGTATATACGTGTCTTATTTTGTTAAAGTGGATCATATACTAAAGCTAAAAAGCACATAGCATTACACGCTACTAGAGCAATGTATAGCTTAAAAAGAAACTGAATCGACTTAGTTTATTAAATGATATCCAAATAGATCTTTTTTATGAAACAATTAAACTTATTCTTCTCTATGGGGTGGAAAAAATATGGGGATATGGTTATATAGAAGTGATTGAACGAGTCCAGCAATAACATGGAAAATATGTTTCACTGCAGTGAAAAATAATTTTTTTCAGTGAAAATACGGAAAAAATGAAATACGCATTTTGTTTCATCAATATTTCTCAATATTTCATTTGTAAGTATATAATAAACTGACTTGTTATTTTGTACCATACTTTTGATTTTGTAATATTAGGTATAGACGGAGAGCAGAGCTTCAGTGTCCCACTGGGTGACCGATTTACAGTGTTAGCTGGTGATGTTTTCGGCTGGTATGTTCTGTGGTCTTCCTACATAATTAAATTCTTAATCTGCTGACTATTTGTTATACACAGCTATGAATTTGGATTATTGCAATCTATGTTTAAAACTGCACGCATCTAACCAAAGCCAAAATACTTCAAGAATATCAACTTTGAGAAAAATTGTCCTGATATATTAGGAAAAATATAAAATATTAAAATTAAAGAAATAATTTACATGTTATACGCAATTAATGACTCATTTTGCTGTATTTATCACGTGACTAGCACAGTAAGAGCCTTTTTTGCATAATCTAACCTATTTATAGAAATAATCTTAGATTTTATGTGTCGTTTGCAATATATTTATAAACTACTTTCTATGTTCACCTGCAAATATTTTACTTTTTTAAATACATTTTATTTATTTTTGCTTGAAAATCAGTATAAATTTGGTAGTATGCTGCTTTAATTTGATTTTAATGTCAAATACAAAATGAGCTACCGTGATATTTATAGAGCCTAGTCAAACTGCACGGATATACTGGATGACATTGCTCTATACTTGGTGGGCAAAGGTTATCAGCTTCTGTTTCAGCAGATTTATGGTTTTAAATGTCAGTAAGAATGTGTGTATTTAGAAGATGATTATATTGAAATTATAAATACATTCAGTATACAGGTAATTACCGTTTTCATACTACTGCATGTAGTATACAAATATCTTAAATAAAAATTAACTTTATTTAAAGCGGGAAAGAAATAAATGTATATGACAGGTATAAAAAAATAAGCACTTACAAAGCATTTAATTCAATTCTGAAATAGAATATAAATAAACAAGCAAATATGAGTTATGTTTTGTAAAGGGATGTGAATTGTTTAGATAAAAGAAGACGTGTTTATTGGTAAAGAAAATGTTGTTATTTTATTCTTATTCAATAAAATTGAGTCAATAAATATCTATATACAACATTTTTTTGTTGCAGGTGGTCAAATGGATTAGATATAATAACTTATAAAGCCTCTTTTTCAAAGGGAAGCAAGATGATGGAATTGACCGCTAAAAGCGTTGGCGATGTGCAAGACTGGACTACTGCCATTTCTGATACAAGCAAAGAATATGCAATAAGAATGGACGTTTCGGGTGGTAAGGGTATTTCATCTTTAAAGGCACATTATACCTCAGTAATGAATATAAAATTTCGTTCTTTAGAAAAGGCAAACATGAGCTTTATAACGTTTAAATTATTATTTTAGAGTATGTAAGATACTTATCACCTGTAGACAGTAGGACTGAATGTGGAATTATTTGTCATTTTAGTAGCAAAACGTAAAAAAATAGTATTTTGGCTTCCGTACAAAATATAAAATCAGTATAAATGTACTAATTGCCAAAAGGCAACAGAAGCAAAATATGATTAATGTAAATGGCCAATGAGTACCTTTTTGGAAACTTTAACAAGACAAAAAAAAGCTTTTGAAAAATAAAAAACAACAGCATTTCTTATGCATAATTGGCCTTTAAAATTCAATGGTTTATTTCTTGATATTCATATAGCTTTCAAGGTATATTTCTTTAGTATATTATTTACAGATCTTTTTCTTCAATTCCATTTCTTTAAACTTTTGAGTAAAATTTGTGTTTATGATACTTAAAGTTCTTAAGTACTTAGGCGTGTTTATTTCGCATAGTTTTTGGTAGTTTAGCATAAACGCATGTTTTATTCGGCAAGTGTAACATTGGCAAAATGTTTTAGTTTAAACAATATTTATTTGTAAACTTTTCATTTCCATAATAAAATACATAAAATAAATTTTACGGATTGAGTAGGAAGCTAAAATGTTTTTTGAAAACTCTCCGTGACTCAAAAATATTTTAAGGAACGTTCATCTTTTTACACTTCATAACACGGCCTTTAATCCAGGGTCGTTTTGTTTTAAATCTACAAACAAAAACTCTTGAGAAGTTTTTCATAGTTATTTATTGCTATACTGAGATGTAAATTGACAGTACATTTTTTGCAAATATTCTTTTTATCACCTTTTGAAACGCAGATGCTTCATTGTGATTTATCTATTTGGAAAGAATTGAGAAATGATCCTATACACGTCAGATATAGTTATGAAGAAGATAATATTTTTCCCCGATAAAATCTTTCAAGGTCGTCATCTGCATAACGAAATACATGAATTTTCGAAAACACTCTGGAAACAATTATTTAATAACTATTTTCTCACAAAGTGTATCAACCCACAATGTTTCAAGGGGTTACATTGTAAACCATCCTTAATAATTCTTGTACAATCCTATGTTTTTTTTATAATTTTGAACAATAGCAAATAATTACTATCGGTTATTTATTTTACATATCTAATTGCTTTTATATGTCTCAGGCAGTGTGCCGTTTTTCACAAATTTGCCCGACACTGTCAACATTCCGGCTTCAACTGCCGTTGGAACGTCGATTTTTACAGTCAGCGTTGACGACATTGACGTCGACCAGATAGGTAATTTATCTGTAACTATGACATCGGACAACACAAACTATACCTTTGATGAAGTTACACGTGAGTCTTTTTTAATTTTCAAACTTTAATATTTCACAAATCAAAATAATATTTAAATGACTTCTTGACTTGTCTTTATATTTTAAAATAAGCCAGTAACACTTTGTATGTATGTAATGAAACATTATTGCTCATACCTTTTCAGCAATTAACATTTAATTTGTAATAACTTTTGAATTAAAATTGTATGTTTGTTTGAATAGAATAAAAACCATTTCCATACGATCGTATAGTTCGAAAGTGCTATTTCGTTGATTTTATTCTCAAGTAATTAAAAAAATATATTTCAAAATTTTGCTAAATAAAACCAAACAATGAACATGTATTTCTTTTCGTCTACTGTTACTGGCATTGTATTTACAGATTACAAAACAAGCATTTTGTATAAACATATGAACAAATAAACAAAAGATATAACAAAAATTTAAAGTGTTATACAATGTGGTGTAGTAAAGCGACATTTATAATTCAATCGAACCTGACTAAAGTTCAGATCTACTTATTTCTTTTATGTAGATCATATCGCTCTATTATAGATGTACTGAGCACCAACACTATTTTCTCGGTGTCCGTCGTCGATTCTTTGACGTTTCAAGTAATTGACATATGTGGTAGCGTCTCTGCCGGGACATTGACGGTTGTCATCACCAATGAAGTAATTAAAGTAGTTAGACCTTCGTTGCCGAGTTGTTTCATATCATGTGCCTAGTTTAAGTTTTATTTTTATCAGTGACTTTGGAATTTTAAATTAAGTTTAGGTCTACATGGTAGTATCCAAGTCCCCTGATGGTGCCTATAATAATGCTTGGAGATGTCCTCACCAGTTAACTTGGAAAGTCGTCATATGACCTTTATAGTGTCGGTATGACTTAAGGCCAAACACAATTTAATAAATCATGCCAAAAAGTGAATGAAATTAAATGTAATTATAGTTATCTCGTTTATTTAGGTCGATAAAAATAAAGATTAACACAATACGAAAATCATTATTGTTTTCAGTGTGTTCAATGAAATGACCTTCCCGAAAGACCTACCATCAAAGACACGCATAAATATTGCATTTTTGCCATTGTCGGAATGGGCAGTCATAACGTACTCTGTAATGTTTTTATTTTCTTTCGAAGACTGTCAAATCAAATGATACATTGTGAAATATGAATTTTCATGAAAACACTGTTATTTTCACGTATAATACCTTTATAACTATAGGGCCCAACGCTAAATCCACCTATAAACCCACTAACCGTTGGGGAAGGCCAGACAGCAGAGACTTTATTACATATCTTGAATGTCACCGACCCAGAAGACGATCCCATTACGTGCTCGCTCGAGATTGTTTTTCCAATATCAACTTCATTTAGTGTCACTCTTAATGCATCAGGTAATTGATGATAATTGATGTCTTTCTCATAGCATTCATATCTTTTCTTGGTCGCCATTTCGAGGGTCATTCCAAATTTTTTATTTTTGCTTAAGATTAGATAAAAAATCTCTCACATTTTCATAATCTCAACGTTAGCTGATAAAACCCCATTTTTTTACATTAGTGCTTTAATAATATTTTCCTCACTAGTATTCCATTAAATTATGTTTATTGAACTATTATAATGACCCCCTAAATGGCTGCCATGTTCATCAAAGGAGCTTAATATTGTTAACATTGGGAACTAGCTATAATATATTCTCTATAGCAATCCTCATGAAGTATGAATATAAGAAATTTTAACTATGCGTTAATGTAATGATCATTTGAATATAATTAGTGCTTACGTTTTTACTCTTAGTGCACAACACTGAGCACTAATTAAAAATGATAAATGACTAGTAAGCAATGCTAACATTTCTACATCTTACATATTCTACACGGTGAAACAAGGTCTTTACCTCGATAAGTATCTTTTTAATGATGCTTCCTGTTTTTCTTAACATACATTTCTAATATATTTATTCGTATGAATGTAACAAAAACTACTGTTAATTATAAACGTATTACATACTTCACACAAATATATTTGCGTAAATTAAATAAATTCAAGAAGAATATTATGACGTTTGTTTCACTGGATTGTGTTTTTTCTCTCTCCATGTAATGAGTTTTACTTAATGGGATTTCTTTTCAGATTGATTTTGAATTCTTTTATTGATTTCTTTCCTCAGATTATGGTATTTATACCAACGAAAATCCCGGTTTCGACTATGCTACAATAAATACATACATGTTAATAGTTCCATGCAGTGATGCCCAAACTACAAGTACTGGTACATATATTGTAGAAATCACACCAAATAGTGGTCCGCCAGAATTCATTAACTTACCAAGTAAGAACGTTTTTTTACGGTGTATATTATTTTTATGCAAGTAAAGTCGTAATTTGCCTCGAGGTTATAAAACAGTTTTCTGAGCTCTGTCTCAAATCTCAGGATTTTCATTGGTCATTGAACATTTTGTGACAGATTTTGACCAATCAAATACCTGTGCACTGAGTTTGAGCTTAAAAATTCCTTTATAACCTGTGATCCTGGAATCATTTGGAAGAGAACAGGCATATACAGTCAAAATGCCGAAAGCACTGAATGCGACGGACAAGAAAAGGCGAGTGTGTATATATTTATATTATTTATACAAAAAACGATATTGTGTCAAATTCTTCGGGTATATTAATGTGTGCGTTTGACTCTTTTTATCACCCATTTGTATCACCTATACATCAATTGATTTCTAGGTATCTGAAGTGAATTATTTACACAAAAGTGTCATTGACAGTTTACTTTCTGTCGAAAACAGTTATGGCATAAGACTGTTTCGAATCATATTTTGAAAATGGTCCGAAAGTTTAGTTACAGTGAATTACGGTATATGCCCTTTTCACCGCCTAAGCCTTGCGCGGCTATATTGCATATGCAGATGTTGCGTTTTGATAACAGCCAAATGGGAACAAAAACATAGTTTGAAAGTGTTCATGCAGACAACGAAATCACATTTGCTTGTTATGAAAATATATAAATGATAAGTTGAGTGTGTAATAAATATTGCTTCCTTTTTTACTATGCTTATTCAGAGGGTATTTATGCTTCATAAACATTGCATCTCCATATATATTGCTAATAATCTGTTTATCCATTAGATACCGCAACTGTATCATCGACTTCAGAAATAGGAACAATAATCTTCACAGTGCTGGCCAATGATACTGATGTCGCTGACACATTATCTTATTCAATGACATGCGATACAGATCCTTGTCTATTTGCAATTTCAGTAAGCAGTAAGTAAAGGTGTTTATTATCATTCTATATTAAATTCTATATTCTTTATTTATCAAAGGAAAACAGTCGTTAAACCAATCATTTACAAACATTACTTTGTCAAATTATTTTTATTCATTCTTCAATTTTCTCTTATGAGCGGACTCGGTCAAATCAATTTCATCTACAGTGTACTTGGTTTTTGTGTTTGGTTTGTCAGGGGCTGTGAGGGATCTTTCACTTTTTTATTATCTTTCTTCATTGACAAAGTCTGCAATTTCATGTAATTTTGTTGTTTTGTTTCATGTATTTCTTCTGAGGGAATCACACATTGTTCAGAGTTCAATCCTGCCAAGGAATTTCTCTTTTTTCCAGAATGGCAGTATTTAACAGCACCTTTGTTTTATATTTGATCCTTTTTAGAACGTACTGAATAAAACAGTTTACAGTCTTAGCTGGTAATCATAGTACAGAAAAATAAAGACATCTGCTGGTGGAAAAAAACACTCATTAATCTAATTTTTGTTTCAATTCTTATGTTGCTTGAAACATAACACTATATGTGGTTATAATGATTATAACACTCTGTTGAATTTAACTTTTTGCCTTGCCGCGTTTGTTTTCAGCCGGAGTTATACATATTTCGGAGGACTTGTCAGTTCATGCTCCTACTGTTTATAACTTGGTAATAACTGTAACAGATGGATTGGCTATGGCTGAATCGAAAAACTTAACAATAACTATCACAGGTAATATTATAAGTATCATATATAAATGGTGGTATGACCGAGTGGTCAACGCGTTGGACTTAATCTAATGACCGCTAGCGTCATGAGTTCAAACCCCGTCATTGTTAATTTAGCAAGAACCTTTACAGTCTTTGCGCAGTACTGGATGTTTCCTACACAATCGAACTAAAACAAAGTCTATATAAACCAAATATCATATTTCATAATTCGTAATTTTTTGCTAAAGTAACAATTTTTGCCAGCAGTACATCGGTTAAAGTACAAAAGCTATTTTGGCAAAAATCAAATTGAAATTGGCATGTATCATAACATGGTATATGAACTTTATTCAAATATTGAAAGATTTTGTGAAATTAAAGCAATTACCCTTTCAGTCATTGATGCGACCATAAGCGGGAAATCAATTTTACCGTAAACAAAATTCACGTGATCATTCACCCCTGAACTACTGCAATGACTTTTTCTCATACTAATATATTTTCGTTTTGTTCTCTTTTCAGTTCAGATCTATTTATAATAATCTAATGTACGCGCCTGTTAATTTTTTTTGTAGAAAATGGTCTGATCTATTCTATACAATTTGTATTATTCTGTTCGTCAAGATTATTCAGTTGTTTTTTCATAGAGTAAGTTTAAGTTTATTGTAAAGATCATATTCTATTCTGTTCTACACTTTTTATTTTGTTATTTTTTCTAAAGAATATGTTCTAGATTTTGTTTACATCATATTCTGTTATGTTCTATTTTTTCTTATTAATCTATACTTCTATTATATTTTGTTCATTTTTATGTAGCTGTAACGACAACGACCACGAACAGATACGATAGAGGTGTGTACGAAGATTCGAGAGAGGTTGCTAAGTTGTCAACAATCATCGTCGTGTTGTTAAGTTTTAGTATACCGGCTGTTGTTCTATGTTGGTGTTGTTGTCAGAAGGGATTCATCAACTGCTATAAGAAGTGGTTCGTTGTTTTATAATTTAATTTCTATTGTAAGAATAATTTTGTAGTAAATGCAATAAGTTGGTAGATAATATCCAATAATATATTCAATTTGTAACGACTGCATTAAGATGTAAAATAATTATCAATGATGCTAACTGTTGCAAGATGTGGCAAATTATTTGAAGTGTAAAATTATTTTTAAAGCGGCCTTTGGCCTTTTTTTGAAAAACAATTCTTTGTTGTTTTAAACTAAGTATTTCAGTAGTTTTATCTTGGAAAAGTGAATCACTGTTAAGCCTTCTCCAAAACAGCGTCACGACAGCTATTAATAGTGCGTAAGTGATGTTTGTTTCTAAAAATAGAAGATCGAAAACATGGACCGCTTTACTAAAGCGGGCGGTAGGGGGTTTCCTTCTGTTTATTTTTTTATCGGCGGAAAATTTCATTTTACACTTTACTTCTTTTGATTTGACAACTATGTGAAACAATTGATCTAAAAATAATAGGTATATCATTTAAATAGCTGAAAGCCGCTTCAGATATGTAACTTATGCAAGAAAGGTTGAATATGAACGTCTGCATATTTTGCAAGTAGTGCCATGTTATCTTTTGACAGATGCAAGTAGTAGTTCTTAAATATCAACTTTGTAACTAGAAGATGTTAATATGATGTATATTTAGACCTTTTACAAGATGTGGTTTACTCTGATATCAATTATAGCAAGAAGTGTTTAATTTAGATGTATCTTTAAATTATTTTTGTATTCAACCAACAACTGACACAGACCAACAAATAGTTCTAAAAAAATCTGAAGCATTTAACCGCATAATGGAAAAACCCTCCTGCTCACTTTCATAATCATGTTTCAGGTTTAGTACCATTTGAAAACAAAATTGCATTTCTTTTGTACATAACCATTAGTACTTTTTTCAAAGTTAATTGCGGCTCCTTTAAGGAATGAGTAATATCATATAATATAATGATGTTTTTAACTTTATTTTCTGTGTTATAGTTACAATAAGATCAAGTGCAAATTTTGCAGCAACAAAGCCAAAGTACAAGGTAAATACAATTTTAAAATCTGTTGACATGTTAAGTTATAAAAAAAAAAAAATTAAAAAAAAAAAAAAACAAACAAAAAACACGCTCTTCTCCTTAATTCTGTCAAGCTTTTGAAATGGATTTCTCGAAACATCCTTCAGATTTTAAATAATTGATTGTTTTTTAGCAACACCAAATGCCAATGGCATTTAAAAGTTATTCTTAGGGAGAAGCCAATCTTACGAAATAAACCGACCATCTTAAGCTGCAATTACTTTCTCGTAAAAGATCTTATGATTTAAAAAAATATATAATCTTTTCTTTTTCTTATTTCAGACATTTGACATCAAAGATGTGAATTTCCTTCTAATAAGCATCATTGGATATATTTTTGAAAACATGTGTACCTGTTAATTGCAGGAGAAAAACGTTTTTTCTGCTTTATCAAACTATTATTCTGCTAAAAGATGACTTATATATTTTCGGATCTTCTTGCCGTACATCAATAATCAAGAATACAAAATTAATCTTTCATGTGACTTTGATAAAAAGAAAAAACAATAAGCTGCATATTTGATGCTAGCAAGCTATAAAATTATCTAAATGAATTTTAAAAAAAGAATTATTTCAAAAAAGCTGTATAAAAGGAATATGTTTATATGTTTCCCTATGAGTGAATGTTACATACAGAAAATCATTACTAAATAGTTAAAACCCTACATAAAATATCAGCATAATATTATGTTCAATAACATTTAATTCTTTTAACGTACAATATTCATAAATTTTAAATAAATAAATAATAAGTAAAAAGACATTTTTAAATAACTTGTTTTGACAATTTACCAAAGTATTGTAGATATATTTACAACATGATTTACCGTTTATGAATTAATAAAAAATAAATTAGATAAAGTAAATTTGTATAATTAGTAATGCATTGTATAGGTACATCTATTATATGTATCGTATTTTATATATTTTAACGGAATGTGACAGAAACGAAGAGCTGTAAATTTGGAATGAAAATGTAAAAAAGTTTATTATTTAATAATATACTTTGATTCTCGTATATCGTTTTATTTTCCTGCCGAGATGGCATTCCTTTTATTCTTTCGTTTAAGTTTAACAAGAATTGTTTGATAGCTATGTAGGAGCACATTTGTCTCGGAGCACAAAGCTATCCGAATGCTTTTTGTCCGTGTGTTTCGTATTTGATTTGAATGCAAGTTATCGTACTGAAAATTTGACCAAGGTTTGCTGTCTGATTGAATATTATCATCATACTTGCGTTTAATTAAATATCTAAAGAGGTATCTAACGTGTGTAAATCAACAGCATGTGATTTCATTACATTAGGCTTGTCTGTACATATTACCCGGACAACATTTGCTTTTCAGATCGTTATTCAAATTTCAAATGTTTATTTTACGAGTATTATTGATACATTATGAAACGTATCTAGCTTTCACAGAAACAGGTTTGTAATTTCTTGTCTCGAATAATGCGATTTTAAATGACAATTCAAACATTTTTACCTAAACAAGAAAAATGTAATTTGATATTAAATTTCTTATGTTTTTATAATATTTTGTAATTAATTTAAAGAACCATTTAAATCTGAATAAGTAAACACGGCAATATGCTCATTTATCGTATCTTCGCCTTCGACTTCTGAGGGCGCCGACGCAAGACAATATATTTTAGGTGAAATAACGATATTTTAATACGCGAAGATATGAGATTTTTTTCTGTAAAATTATCGTGTCGGCGGGTAGACATCTTCGTATCGGCACCCTGTATTTGTCATGTCGCCTCGGAAGTCGAGGACACGATAATTGGCTAATTTATCGAGTATTCGTGTCGATGTGTCTTCGACTTTCGGGGCGATAAATTGTTTAATTGTTGTGTTTTCGTCTTTCGGATAAATCAAAATTTGTCGTTTACCTATATAAAACTTTAAGTATATTTTACATCGTTAATCACTACCTTTATTGAATTATTTATTTCATAAATGGGTTTGACGATATTTCAAATCGTGCTGAATTAACGCCGATTGTCTTTCTTTTCTTTTAAGATATTTCTTGTTGTAGTTTATACAAATTTATTTTAGTTCGATTATGCTGAAAGCAGCTGCTGTAAGCTTATTGAAACACTCTCGAATCCGTTCCTGGAACCAACCAGTACTAAGCCATAAATGTAAAGTTTCTTGCTCAAAGAAACAACGGCTTACCTCTTACAGGGTTTGAACACGCTCGGTCATCAAGACCGTAAATTACTAGTTCGACGAGTTAACCCATTACTTCATGAGCATAAAGCGTTAAAAGGCGTGTATATCGCGTAATGGGTTTACAGAAAATGATGAAAATACTTGAAATTACCCAAAATTGCGTTTTTCCATGTTTAAACATGGCCTGTCATATAAATTTGAAGAAAAATTGTTGTTTTGTAGATTTTTTGATTTTTTTTCATTAACCCATTACTTCATGAGCATTTTGTGAAAAATGGCTGTTTTCATTGAAAAGTATCCCGTTACAAGTTCAAATTGCTATAATACGAAAAAAAAACTGCTTCAACACTATTCAAACTTGGCACAAATGTTGACTGGACCATTGCCCTTGAAAAAACATGCTCAGGCTTAAATTTTCTGTTACCATGGCAATGAGGGGACATCTCAAAATTGCCAAAAATCACTATTTTGCGTTGATTTTTTCCATCAAAATTGATTTCAAAGTGCTGCAACTTCTCAATGGATTGAGAAAGAGTCAAATGCTTTTCAGCGTTGGTTACACGTTACCTTATGATCAATCTGGGGTCATTTATTATGGAATGCCGGTAGGGACATGCCACTTTGCTTATTTGCCAACTACTTAATTGCTTATTTGCTAATTGCTGATTTGCCAATTTGCTTATTTGCTGATTTGCCAATTTGCTTATTTGCTAATTGCTTATTTGCTTATATATATAAATTTTTATGCTATTGTCAGGCGACACGTCCGACTCGCGAAGTTCTTGTTTGATATAAAATAACAAGTCTTTGTAGACTTTATTTCAAGCTCATGAACCTATATCATGTTATTATGTTTATAAAGTTTTGTTAATTATAACTTGTGACAATTATGATCAATCCATCATTACCTAGAATATAGGTAGAAAGACAGATGGATACATTTTAATCAATTTCGAAAAAAATAAATTCAGTTTCAGAAAGTAGTTGTTTTTTTAATTATCTTGTGTTTCAGTTTTAGCTCCACTATTCAGAGAATAGGGATGCTATTCTACCCACCAATGCATTGGGTTTCTTGGTAACTTGTTTTTCTGTCATATCTCTGTTACTTTTGCTGATTCATGTATCTTACTGCAACTTTGCATAAACTTTGCGTTACAAGCATGCATACAAAGTACATGTACATGAAGAAGCTGTGCCCGTTATATACTGAATGTCAAGGTCACCAATGTATTGTACTGAGAAGCCTTTGTTTTTCTGTCATATCTCTGTTACTTTTGCTTATATCTAACTGTAACTTCACATAAGCATTAAATAGGCAGCATGAATACACAATATTCAAAAAGGCTTTGTCCATTAATTATACCCTAGGTCATGATCATGGTCATGGTCACCTGATAGCATGTAAAAGTACAACATGAAGAAATGGAAAAGTGTGACCAAATTTCAAAAACATTGAACCAAAGCAAAATGTTGATGCACAAACAGACATAAGTGATCTCAAAATCTTACAGAGCTAAAAACGCAGCCTATTGCTTAAGTGCAAAGACAAACACCCGTGTTAAGCATGTACCAAATGTATCATTTGTGATACTATGTGTTCGTACCACTAAAATGAGGCCCTCTGCGACAAATCTGCTGAGAATAACGACATTTTATATGCCATAAAATAAGAAATAGTTTTGTTTTCAAGTTCTTTTATTTTCAATCTTTACCCAATAATTTTCACTTATATATGACTAATCAAGTGTTTATTATGCCATCAATCTCTGACTTAAGCTGCACAAACAGATCTATAGCTGCAACACATTATAAGGCATGCTCAAGCACAGATGCTGGCGGGTCAGATCCTGCCCCTAACGTGATACGCGTCTGTAAACACTATATCAAAATTATTTTAATATTTATTAAATACGAATTGGACATTTGTTACAACGATAAAACCATTAAGTACTTTATTGAGACTTAATTGGTGGTATATGGTATTTTTTCATACCGGTATATGTAAAAATTGCTTGAAAACCAGTTTTAACGATGTCCAATTCGTGTTTAAATATTAAAATATTTTAAAATGAGTGTTTACAGGGGCACGTATCACGTTGGGGTACGGGATCAGACCCTCAAGCGTCTGTGTTCTCAAGGACATGTCAGCCATCAGTTGTAGACATATATCTGCGTAGGCATCACTGCAACTAAATTCATTGATCAACAGTAATCTTGGAAAAACACTGAATTTACAAGAATACTGTTGGTAAAAGTTAACAGATCTGACTCAACTGGTTGTCTGTAGTCAGATTTTCCATATATTTCCGGCACAGTGTAAAGTATTTCTATTGCAAAAAAAGCAAATTAGCAATTGGCAAATAAGCAAATACGTAATCCAGCGGTTAACAAATAAGCAAATTAGCAATTCAGCAATTGGCAAATAAGCAAATTTGTCGTTAAGACTATCAGCCATTGGCAAATAAGCAAATCGGCAATTAGCAAATAAGCAATTCAGCAATTGGCAAATAAGCAAATTGGCATGTCCCTACCGGCATTCCATAATTTATAGCCTCTCACAAGTCCAAAATTTTCTTGGCGATGAGGGGGACTCCGCCCAATTCAAACCCCCCCCCCCAAACAGAAGATTTCAGGCAAGAACGGGCACTGAGTAAAACCAACCGACGTTCAGTAAGCTAGCTGAATAGCTTCCTAACTTAAAACAATCCAAAGTCCTTGTCAGGATGCAAACCAACTCGCGGTGGGGGCTAGTGGTTCGAAGTCAACGCTTTTATTCACTCGATCAAGGCCGCCGTTCGGTACGAAAGTGGATGCATCTAGTACTTTAATCTGTTCAGTCTGTGAGCCCCCAGTTACAAAATGGTTTTCCAAAATTTTTTTCAAAATATGTTTTTGGGTTTACGGACCGCTTTATTTATTTTATGAGTCAATATCAAGATGCAGTGCTTTTGTTGTATACTACATATACATTCAGACAGACTGAAAACTGGTTAATACAGTTATATTTTAATTTTGCTAGCTCTAAAAATATGACTGACAACAGAAACATTTTAATCGTTTGTTTTTGTTTCGCTATAGTTTACTTCAATCACTGTGTGTTTCAAAATATTTTAAAGATATATTCATCGTCTGTTTAGTTAACAGAATAATTTTTGACGTGTTTGACCTTTGACCTTATCAAATATCATACTTTTTGTAATATAAGCTTGTAGTTTAACGCATTCCTTTGCCCTGCAATGTAAGCTTTGTTTGCAAAGCATTGAAAGTTATTTTTAAATGATTCATGAAAATAATTCAAATACCATGACCTTTGCCCTTCAATAATGACATTTTAATTGCCATTCAGCCTTTAAACCATCAGATTTTTTGTAAGACGACATAATAATAATAGTACTGTGTAATTTGATATTTATCAAGGTAATCTCTTTACAAGAGCATGTAAAAGAACAAGTTTACGGTTTGAAAAATCATAAAACCATCTATTGTTAATATTCACTGCCAAGTGGTCATTATTTATCAGTATTTA